AATTAAACATGTTTAAGGTGTAATGTATTTTGGAAACAATTTATGGATGTAATTTTTTTTGAATTTTTTTTCAAACTGAGGAAATGATAATCTTTTCAAAAGAAGAAGAATCAAAATTTTCTGAAAAATGTTTTCTTAAGTAAATGGGAGAGTGTAATGCCTGCGATCGGCGAAGCTCTAGTAAGTGTTTCCCAAAAATTAACCATGATTATGTGTTGCAACTAGTATGTTGATATGTAAATTGCATGTTAAAGTAGGGCTAAGGATACCTTCAGTGTAACATCCCAAGTCCAGGTTTATCCTATAAAACCCTGATCTTGAGCTCTTGTTCATTTGGCACTTATTTGTGAAAAGAGTGGCGAAAGAGTACGCAGGGCGTACTTGGGTGTACGCTTAGCGTACTCAAATGCGTGTTTGTAAGGTGGAGGCCACCTAGTACGCTGTGCGTACCAGTGGGTACGCTGAGTGTACTAGGCATAGGATGAAACCCTAATTGTGGGCAAGCTCCTTATTTAAAGGACATGATGGCCTCATTTTTTGCCACCATTCCCAGACCCCAAATCCTCTAAACCCTAAATCTTCGTCCTTGTACCTGGAGAGTGCATTTAGGAGCTTGTGATTATATCTTTGTGATCTTGAGGTGGAGGAAGAGCTTGGAGGAGAAGGAGTGAGAGCCCAAGAGTTTGGATCTGAGCTTAGTTACGTGAAAGGCTTCCTAAAAAGGTATAAAGCTTCAAGCTTTCTTATCCTTTGCTTTGGTTCATTCATGTGGTGTATTTAGCATTTTAGTCCCAAAAGGTGGAGACTTTATGAGTAAAGGCGCTCTAGGGACCGTGATCTACCCCTTTTCAGTGTATATTGTGAAGTAGAGTCATAAAAATCCAATCTTGGACGTCAAGAGTGAGCCATGCATGAGATCTGAGCTTCATAAGGAAAGGGGTTATGTGTTTTTAGTGTTTGTGACCTAATCAACCATGCAAAGGCTTAAAGTCACTGACTTTATGGACTAAGAGACAATAGGGAGTCTAGATCCAAGATACGAGCCTATATCTTAACTGATTAAGGCCAAAAATGAGAGGAGTGTAAAACTAAGGCGTACGCTTGGCGTAATCCCAGTACGCGTGGCATAGGGGTCGAGCATCCTCGATGCCTGCATGGCAGCTGAGTACGCACAACGTACTCCCTGCCGTTGAGTTTTGTTTACTTTTAGGGTTTGGTTAAATTATGGACTACTAAGACTACAGAGGGGTAAAATGGTCTTTTTACCCTTCTGTGAGTGCAGAAGGGTTAGTCTAGTTCTTGAGAGTCAATATTAATTAGAGATAATTATTATGTGCTAGGCGGAGGCTAGACCGGGGGTAGAGTTCGAGATTCCGAGTTCGTGGTTTTCATTTGCTAGCTTACGAGGTGAGTCTTCTCACTATACTTACCTTGAGTGGTAACTTATGTGTGACTAGAGGGTCTTATATGTATGTGTTGTGTATTGAGATATCCTGCTATTTGTTTTGTGATATGCTTACTGTGTATTATATTGAGATGATGAGTTGAGGGACCCGAGGGTCCATCAGAGTTGTGGGCCCGGAGGGTCCCACTGAGACACATTGACTGGAGGTTCTTACTGAGTATAGCCTCGAGTTGTTGCTTTGCTGAGTATGGTATTTTGGGGAACTCAGTAAGCTTTATGCTTACCGTGTTATGTGTTTCAGGTAGCTCCGAGGATCGCGACAAGGCACTGGCATGATTGTACACACTGACAGCAGATTGTTTTTATGATTTTGGGATTGTGTTTTTTACTTGTTGACATTTGAGATATTTGTGATTTGGAGAATTATGAAATGAGTTTTTATTGTGTTTAAAAATGAAAATTTTATTTGGAAATTTACATTGTTACATTCAGGGATTATGTGATAAAATTGCCTGATTTCTGAGATGCCTTATAGCCTAAGAAAATCCGATGTCATATATTTCTTGGAATCAATGTTGACTATGTTATTTTCAAAGTGTATGTTGTCAAAGTTATATATGCTTAGGATTGAATAGCCCTAGAATGATAGATTATGCCTTATTTCCTATTCCTTGTTTGGTCGTGGATTTAGGGTAGAAACTTTATCTGACAATCTATGTGATTCTATTTATGTATAACTTGCATGCATAAGGCAACCTATGGTGTTGATTGAGGTTTCTGGTTCTATGAGGATTGAGAAATCCTAGAAGAGTTTAGGATATGTGTATGTGTTGTACATGTTGCATGAGTTATGTTTTGAATTTAATTGGTTGAATTTGAGGTTTCAGGTATGACCTTGAGGAAGGTACATGTAGTTGTGGAAGGTAGTATTGGGCCAGTACTGCTGAAAGCATAGGACCTGTAGCTGAGAAAAGAGCAGACCTGGAAACTCTAAGGAGTCTGGTGAGGAGGAATCCCTTCGAACTTCTTTATCGATTGTTTTTATGTTGTATTTTCAGTTAAGAATGGTGATGGCTACTCGAGGAGGTTTAGGTTTGGGATTGGGTTATGGTTTCGATGCAGAACCGATTGATGAGACTTAGTGCAAGCTCATTGCATCTGAGGTTAATCGTAGCTTTCTTGACGCTACCCCGGTGATTTTTGGTACCATCAAGGAATGGATTATGGAGATCACGGAGGAGTAGCTCAGATCATCTTGAGCCGAGATTTCCGCAGGTCAGATTGGGACTCGAACTCCCTCGATGTGGGAGTTCAAGGCGTGCATAGCTCCTGAGTTCTTTAGGGCTAAGGACACCATTTCTAGTAAGTGCTGGATCGTTGACATGGAGAATGCTCAGCGCACGAGCTTTTGAACCGAGTTGAAAAATGTGGGATTTGGGTCTTGTATACTGAGGGACCGAACGTGGGACTAGTGGGAGGAGGTTACCTGTGAGGTAGGGATGGAAGGTGTGATAGTGATAACATAGGAGGATTTTGTACGGAGGTTTAATCGGGAGTTTGCACCGACCATTGAGATGCAACAGCTGGTGAGGGATTTCCAGGACTTTCACTAGACTATGGAGACTGTGGCGGAGATCATCGCCATATTCAGGGAGAAGGCATTGCTAGTTCTACAGTATGTTATGGATGAGGAAGACGAGATATCATGCCATGTTGAGGGATGATATCAGAGAGTTCATTAGTTTCTTAAGGTGCAAGACCCTGAATAATATGATTGAAAAGGCCCGTGAGCGGGAAATCGAGTTGGAGATCCGGGCAAAGTGGAAGCCGGAGCAGGTTCAGATAGAAGTGGAGCATGCTAAGAAGTCAAGACCTCCAATGTTCCTAGCAGAGGCCAGCAGGGCCAGGACCGTTGTGTCAAGTGCGGCAAGCCGCATAGTGAGGCATGTTGGGTAGCAGGCTCGGATTGTTGCAACTGTGGCCAGTCGGGTCACATGAGCAGGGACTGCCCCAAGAAGGGCTTATTTTTTTTCACTACAAACAGACCAACCATAAAAGGCCGATTGTCCGAGGTTGTCTGGTGGAGTAGTGGTGGCACCAACATCAGCCACCTTGAGGATTGCTGGAGGGATTGAGGCGATCCTGCTTTGTGATGAAGGACAAGACACCCGAGGTGCTCTGGAGAGGCTGTAGGCCCTACGGGGTGATCCAGTTAGGCTGAAGGCATGAAGAGCGATTCGGATAGGCTGTAGGCCCTACAAGAAAGTCTAGTCATGCCGAAGGCTCGCAGAGCAATCCAGATAGGCGTAGGCCTTGCGAGGCGGTCCAGTCAGGCTGAAGTCTCATATTTGCATGCTTTTATTGTTATGTTGTGTGATGGTACTTTGGGGGAACTCACTAAGATTTGGCTTACAATTTTAGTTTATTATTTTAGGTGCTTCTGAGGATCATGGGAAAGCGAAGGCATGGTCGTGCACATCTTCCTGTTTTTATGACGTTGGATCTTAGGATCCTCTAATTTTGAATAATACTTTTGAAACAATGGTTTTTTAAACACTTTATGTATGAAATGGGTTGTTTTTGAAAATTCTAAATTTTTATGATTTTTGGGATGTTACATGAAAAATATATTCATTGGTCATAATTTACTTTCATGGTCATCAAAATGTTGACTAACTATATATCAATCTAATGTTGAATCTAATTTACCTACGATTGCCAAAAGCGTTGTCAAAACATGTTGGTTTCCAACCTCCTTAGCGAGCTTTAGTTACCTCTCACCAAAGATACAATGATTTATTGTTTCAATGTTAATGTCATTTACCTTTCCATAAACGGATTCCGACACCAACAAACTATACACATTAAGATAGATAATGTATTAATACCTCTTCCTCCCTCTACCATTTTATAGATTTTTCTTAGAACCATATTTCTTATGCAATATAAGGAGAAGCGAGTAAACAATGATCAATCTATTATATTGTAACAAGACAAATGTCGCATATGTCATATGGTATATCATGATTCAGAAGAGGTGTACAACAATAATACCACTATTTCAAAACTTGTGATATTCATAAAGGCCATGCGAACACCAATTTCTATGACTTTAGATCCTATGCATTCGACATAAACCTTCCGATTAAACAGTGGCCAACGGCCAGGGGTATTAACATGTAATGCAGATACCATCTATATACTTTGTATTTATGCTCATCTCTTGTAATCTAATATTGGCACATAGTTTTTTGTATTATATAAATTAGGTTACAACCTGTTTAAACCACAGGTAAAAAAAAACAATATTGATAATTAAAAACGATAATGAAAAATCAAAGATTTACAAAATTTTATTAAATTAAGATGATATAAGTTTTGTTTAAACTTTTATATTTTTATATTGATGTTACAGATGTAATTTTTAAAATAGATACTATAAATTTTGTTACAAAGTTAGTTGTCCTTTATTTTATGGTTATATATTACTTAAATACATAACTAAAAAAACATATAAGCAAATAACACCTTATTTATATTTTGCAACTATAAGCAAAACATATAAGCAGGTTTTGGTGTCAGGTTAAATTCAGTAATGAGATTTGGTGACAAGACCATTAAAAAAAGGTATGTAGTGTGCAACAAAATTGGTAAAATCCCTAACAGATCAACTGACACTTTGGATCGTGACGGAACTGGAAGGAATAAACGAAACTCAAACTTCAGAATCACGGACCTCAAGGCATTGATAAAGTTCGAAAGGTTACATATGCAAAGTAATGATTGTAACATATATAAGTTTGAAGAGAAGCACAACCACCCCCTAGAAACTAAAGAAGAAAGATGGTATTCCAAACGTGCACGACGACTTAGTTATAAAGACAAGGAGTTTATAGTGCGTTCTTCAACATCTAACATGGGTGAAACAAATGCACATAAGTTACAAGCTAGTTTGCAAGGAGGTTATGAAAACATTGGCCTTGAAGCAATTGATTATAAAAATTTTAGAAGGAATATGGGAAACATTATAGGTGAAAAGGATGCACAGCTGGTTGTTGATAAAATGAACATGAGGAAAGATGAGTTACCTAACTACACATTTGAGTATAAATGTGTTGATAGTGTGTTAAGCACAATGTTTTGGGCGGATGAAACCGCTAAGTTATATTACAAGGAGTTTGGAGATGTGATCTCATTTGATGCTACATTTCGAACAAATAAGTATGCTCTTATAGTTTTCTATTTTTTTCTTTAAATATGAATATTTCTGTTTTTTGAGTTTATAATAACTATTGAATTTGTTTTTAATTAACTTTTTAATACATGTATGGAATGATTTTTGTGCCGTTTACAGCCATTGATAACCACAAACATTCAATAAACATTGGAGCAGGTTTGTTAAGCAACGAGTCAATAGAATCTTATCGTTGGTTGCTTGAAGCTTTTTTGAAAACACATGGAAAACACCCTCAATTAGTGTTAACAAACCAAGATCCAACAATTCTACAGGCTGTTGAATCAATATTTCCTAATTCACCGCTTATGTATGTGGCACATTATGAAAAAACTACAAGCTAAGGTGTGTATATTTTATTCATAGTTAACACAAAATATGTTTTATTCAGCAATGATTTAAACAGTTTACGTATTTTGTAAAAATGCTTAGCATAGATATTGTTTATTCATAGATAATCTTATAAAATTCTAATGTTTTGTTAGGTTTCAGCAGATTTTCTGAAAAACACTGATTTTCGAAAGCATTTTACTAAGCTTGTTTGGAATGTCTACATCGAGCCTAAAGTCTTTGAATCAAGTTGGAAACTGCTTATGAGAAAATTCAAACTACAAGACAAAAGATGGTTCAAAGACATGTACAAGGATCGAAAGCTTTGGATTCCAACCTATTTTAAAGACATGCCACTACATGATCTGATGAAAACTACTTCAAGGTCTGAAAGTGTCAACTCATTTTTTAATAAATATTCTAACTCTGGTAATTTTCTTATCTATTTTAGGATGAGCTACGACACCGCAATTGGAAAGCAACGAAATGGTCAACGGAAACTAGAAAATGATACAAAAAATACAAAGCATGAAATGACGCTTCCAAGTAGATTACTAGAACATGCAGCTGCATTTTACACTAAAACCGTTTTCTATGAGGTCAAAAAGGAAATATTTAAAGTAGCCTGGTATTGTTCTATTGATAGGGTTGAAATGATTGATGGGTGGTAAGTTGTTATGATTACACAAACGGATAAGAGCAAACAATTGAAGATAAAATGCAAGGTTATATTCATTGTTGAAATGCTATTCATTAGTGATCATACAAGTATATTATATCATTATTTTTAAATTACATATACTTGTTTCAATATTATGCAATAACCACCAACTAATATGTTAATTCAACCAGTTACTAACATACATTATTTTTATTATACATCGTAGGTTGAACTAAAGTTGCCTGAAAAAGAAGTTAAATGTTCATGCAATCACTTTATACGTATTGGCATTTTGTGTTGTCATATTTTTGTTGTATTGAAAAACAACCATGTTGAAGAGATTCCAGGGCAGTATATTCTCAGAAGATGGAAAAGGGATGCAATTTCTATCCATTTGCTTTCCATGAAACATGTTTCCATGGAAACCGAAGATGACACCTTTAAACTTCTAATAGTGGCATACAACAATATTGAATACTTCTTGGATCATTTCAAAAGAAGCAAGGAGAAATTGTTGGAATTTGTTGAAAAAACACGTATCTTGAAGCAGGAGGCAATAGAGTTTGGCAGTTCAAACCAATCATCATCTGATAATGATGAAGAAGAAATTATTCGGATGCTTGGAATATGCAGCATTCCTGATGAAATAAATATCCACCCACCTTCATCTATACGTACCAAAGGGAGTGGAACTAAGAAAAGAATGGTTAGTGCTACTGAGAAAGTTGTTGGAGCTGCAAAGAAAAAAACTAAAATTTACACAGGTTGCAATCAATATGTTAACCATAATTGGAGGACTTGCAAAGTCAGACTTGCACAAGAGTCAAAACAACCTTAAAATGGCCCATTCATTTGCCCAATAGATTTTAATTTTCTATTAGATTTATGAATAAGAATATGTTTCTATGATTCAGTATGTTGTTTTATCTTAAAACACCTTCATGATTTTTAACGTTTTGTTTTATTCAATAATGAATAATATCATAAACATATCTCATAATCATAATAGATTAATGATATGAACAAGCATTTAAACCTCTATTATTTGATTAAAACAGATTGCATTTAGAATATATATATATTTTTCCTTTGTTGAAATTATAAAAACATCAATCATTATAGACTATAGACATATACAATTCAAGCAATATACATTGTTTATTGTATGCTGTTAGTAGTATATCATACTAACAAATGTTTGTAGGATTCATGAATAAGGAGATGTTTCTATGTTTCATTATGTTGTTTTATTTTAAAACACCTATACATCATATGTTGATTTATTTTACATGTTTTTTTATATACTATTTCATGTATGCTTTTGGGTATATTTTAGTCATAAGTTTAACAACATTAAAGTTTAATCCCTTTGTTATAGTCAATAATGAATAATATCATAAATACATTAATTACTTTCAACATATAAATGCATTAATTACTTTCAACATATTAATATCCTTAACATACTAAACCATTATTTTAAAACTATCCAAAAGAAACCATCAAAGTCATAACTAAAATAACTTTTTTAACATAATTAACTAAAATAATCCAATCTTGTGTGAATTTGTTCCTTTGCAATGGCCAACAGCTCAGAACGTTATCTTGAAGGAATCTTGTGGAATTCATCAACCTTTTGGAGCACATAATCCTTTTGAACATTATATTCATGAGTGATGATTTTGTATAAATACTTTGTCCTCAGTTTAACAAGTTGATCATCTTGTGCAGAAGACTCGTTCTTGAACATAACTTTAAACTCGTTCATACGTCCACCCATATACGTTTCCATGTGACGCATTGTAAACACACCACAATCAATGTGGTTGTTTATTGTTCTCCAAGGCATTTCCAGTCTATATGACATCATATGTGAAAAGATCTTAGTTTTTGGATGATTCTGAGATTTTAAGTAATCAACTGTGTACTTTTTCTGAAAATGTAAAAAAGATTGTCAACACATGAAATGTTATCTACTAGGTAATGTAACTTTTATTAATCACTTACAATGATTTGGGGCAACTGACCATATCTCTCATCAAGATGATCATCAACTTTGTTGTCGTCAATGATTACAAACTCTGGGTGTTGTAGATTGATCACAAAAAGGAAAATGTGGAAGGAACGAACGATTATTAGGAAAATCTGTAATGTATATTCATTTACATGTATTCACTTTATTTATTATTTATATTTGATCAATGATAAATAAACACATAAGTAAAATGTTAAGATATGTATCTTACCAATACAACGTAACGTAGTCTTGCATCCATATCTTTAATAGAAAGCAACAGATCCTCAATGAATTTATCTTTACGTTGACTTTCTGTTAAATCACTTTCAAGGTACGAATTCTGTAATCCATTTTTAAAAACTCATTAGTTTATTTATAAGTTTTATATAAAAAATAGGTTAATCAACATTGAACAATATTAAATTATACCGTCACATCTGTCTTGCAATAAACTCTCAGAGGCGATTCAGGTGCACGCTTACGTTCATCAAGATTCAACACTTGACTCCAACAATCAATCACATGACCAAATAGTCCACATGTTGGAAAGAAACTTTCCATGTGAAACCTCTCAGCAGAAAAACCATCCAAAGTGTGGAAAACTATATCACTACAAAAGACGTGACCAATTGATACTTATTTTAATAAGCAACCAACAAAATTAAGTAATTTTAAACATAATTTTAATGCAACTTACTTTGGCTCTCCCTGGAGAGAGAATATCCATTTTCTACATGTTTTTCTTGTCGTGGAACTCCTTTGGTGATATTAACAGCCCGTATAATGTAAGGAGATTTCATATATTCGGATTTCATGCGAGGTCTGTACCCTCTTCTATTAAACCCCTTTTCTTCATTGTTGAATGGTACTACAGAAAAAGGAGTTGACATTTCCATTTTAGATGGTGGTGTAGTCTGAAAATATTTTCTTCCGTATCTATTCACGAAGTCTGCATATTCCTTTAACATTTGAATACTACAGTTTGCTATTGGGGAGTTGTCAAATTGTTTGTGAGATGTTGCTAGAATCAGTGTACGTTCAATTTCAGCCTCGTTATCATACCACCATTGAGATTGTTCTGGTTCCTCTGATGTGGAAACTTCATTAAACAGATCATTTACATTGTTTTTCCATTCTTTGACCAATTGATTCTTAGGATATTTCTTGACACCATCATTTATTTTGTCTTCTAACACTTTCTTTTGCTGCACTATCATGTCGTGCATTTCCTTTATTGTTGAAATAGTTGTCTAATAAGGTCAACACAATTTAATTACTGTACAAACCAAATAAAAACATTAATATGTCATTTAGTAATAATTAATACTATAGTAACTCATAATTCAAATGTGAATAATTAGTAAACTACCTCAACACTTTCCCCACTTCCACTAAAAATTTCCTCTCCTTGATTTCCCTACGAAAATTAATACATTGTTAGTTTTTGTACTAATACCTTATTATATATTAATGATTATATTATATTAATACCTTACACCTTCCATCACTAATTTTCACACCTCCTGCATCATTTCTCTGTCAACATGTATGAATATAATTAATTTAGATTATACAAAATAACAAATTTTAAATTTCATATGCATTGTTCAATATAATAAAATATTACCTAAACTTTTTCTGGACCTACATTACTAGTTCCCGATGATTCATTGAAGACTTGAAATGGTTCTTACAATTCACCCATACCCAGACCTATTGTCCTACACTCTACTCTTTCTCGCTCACGCAGTTTATCAACATTCCAAAAACATATTGCTGGTCTGCTTCGTACAATCTTCACTGAACCGCATCGAACACTTTCTACATATAGCAACTACTACAAAGACAAATAAATATTGTATTAATTAAAAACACAATTTAATGAATTTTCACACATAAGTAAACCAATATCGAATGATAGCTGAATTTATAACAACTCTTACCAGCAGTAAGATAATTGGCCCAACATATAATCTTTTTTAGCTGTTTGGATTCCATGCACATTTTGTCTCCTTAAGGCAATCAAAAACATATCCACACCAATCGATGTCATTTAGATCCAGGTCTTTCGTGACTTTTGATTACATGGACAAGTCACATGTTCCCATGCTTATTGACTGACCTAGTGTAGGACACAGTAGGACAAAGATGTTTACTTTAAAGAGTAAATCTTCATGTGTTGTTTGCATAATAACTTGCTGAACTGCCCTTTTTCTAATATTATCTTCATCATCGAATTATTTCTTCCAAACAGTTATCGTGTCGTCTGTAACTTCTCTATAAGCCATTGACTTTATTGTAACATTTCCTAGAGGCAAACCCAACAGTTCGTGAATAACCTGCCGATTAATTGGTATATCACCATGATGAAGGATGAGTACCATCCTATCTGCATCAAAATTCCTTACAGTATAATGCCCCATAGTTGATTCATACCCATCCGCTTTCATATTCAACAAATGCCCCAGACCAATAGAAGAAATATACGCTTCCTGTTCCTTGCTAAGGTTATGTATACAACTATACAAAACATTTGGAGATGTTCGTACTTGTATTCGCCTTGCTTCTTCTGCATCATTTCCCACAACTTTAGGCATTTTCCTTGCTTTGACTACATTTCCTTCTTTATTTTTTCTCTTTTTAATTTCTTCACATTTTCTTTGTCATCATCTTTGAAGAAAGTATAATGCATTCTCTTTTTCCTTATAAGCACAGGATTAGCATCTTCAAAATCAGAGTCTTCATCTTCATTAACCTTCTTGACAGTTACCTTATGTTTTCCTGTTAAGACATATTTAACACAATAAATGATTATAACTAAATTACAAAAATAAAATTGTACTAAATTTAATTAAAAATGAATCATTACCTGAACATGAGTTTAAAACAACAACTTCATCACCTTTTATTTTACAACTATCAAACCATCGTTTTGTTCTCAATTCATTTTCCCTATGTAGTTCATTATCTTCTGTCATGTCAACACTTTCAATCAAACCTGTCAATATGTAGACAACATAATCATAACTGAACACATTTTGATATACAACTTACATTACATGAAATCATCATTGATACCTTTTTATTTTTGTATCTTTTTTTAGATTTTGAAACCCTTGCTTTTCCTGCAACAAACTTCTTCACATTGACTTTGGTTTTCATATTCTTTTCTATTAATAAATATAAAACAATACAAGTTATTAAAACCAACTACATAAACAAACTTTAAATAAATTTAATTTTAAACAAATTCATTACTTGAATCTGAACTCAAAACTACAACTTTAAGATCCCTTTGCATTGAATTGTCTTGTGTGCGATTCACACATTCCTCCACACCTGTCCAAAAATTAAGACACATAATCAATAAAGATTCCAATTGATATTTAACATTTTAATTTTCATTTAATCATCATCACCACCAGTTTGTTTTTAGTTTTCTTCTTAGGTTTTGAATATTTCTTTTGTCCTTCTCTTCTAATCCGAGGTTTTACTGTTTCGTTTCCTTGATTGTCTTCATCTTCAATATCAATAAGCAATGGATTGGATTCTTCATTAGTGAATGCTGAATGCTGCCTTTAGTAATATCCTCTCGCTTTTCTTTCTACCTAATAGTAGAATTAAAATACCTTATTCATTTATAATTCAGAATTGAATCATCAACAACTAAAATAATCATACATTATCCCTAGTAAACACAAACTCAATCAAATACATACTCAACAACAGAGTAATATCTACAAAAATCATCACTTAACAAACAGTGTAAATAATTTAGTAACAAAAACCATTAGGGACTCCACACCATTATTCATTACTTACTACATCATGTACATGATCAAAAACACATACATACTCAATAAGGTACCCATTCACAACCGAATATGCCTTTAACAATCTAAACAATATACAACCCACAACAAGGATTAATACTAGAAAGGTAATTATGTACCACAAACAATCATATTTTACAAATAATCAACAGTGAAGACATTTATACCCTTCCTTATTCTTTTGCTCTTAAACACCATTCAAAATCGAATACTAATATCAATTACTCCTCATGTGGTACTGATAATCTACTTACTTTGACATTCAAAAAGAGGACTCTGGAAAAAAAAGTAAAAAAACCCTAATTTTTGGATTTTCATAATCGTACTTAAGTTCAAAGTAGTCGACTACGACTACACATGTATCTATATCATAAAACTTTCAATCACAATCATAAACGATTAATCTTAAATACATTCCATATCAGACTACCGTAACATTGAAACTCATCTACGATTACCATTTCCATTTAAACATTCACATACCATATCGTTTTATTCGTAAAATACAAACTTTAAATCAACAATCATCGACGATTTTGAGTCACTACAGTTCATAATAGATGATATAAAGAAAAAACAAAAAAAAAGCTAATTCTAGGGTTTTAAGAATCGTTAAAATGTAAACATTAAGAAGAACTAAACCCACTACTACACCCGTTTTCCACTCAATCGACATTCAAAAAAGATTAGAAAGCTTACTTCTTCCACTTCGGTTGATGGTCGATGGCATTCCTCCACCTTCAACCCTTTACGGACTTCTGAATGCACAAATCTCTTTACGGATGAACAGTAGTAATCGATTGTCGTATAAATGTCCAGTTGTGACAATATTTTGCATTGCAGATATGATTGAATCCTCCCAAAGATAAGACGTTAGCTGTGATTACTAAAACATTGCAACGGTTTCTTTTAATTGTCAAACTTACCTGATATATTCAAAATGGATGACATCATAAAATTACTTGAATACCCTTTTATATTTTTTTTAATTAAAAACAATTTAAAATCATTTAATATTATGTTTAAATTAATGATTAATGACAACCTTAGATTTTAAATATTTAACGTACCAGATTTGTTCTCGCGTTCTCAACATTTTAGGTGTTCTCATTTGATCATTTTCATATATATATATATATATATATATATATATATATATATATATATATATATATATATATATATATATATATATATATATATATATATATATATATATATATATATATATATAAAGAATCGTTTTTATTTTCGAGCAATGTAAAATGATAGAAATTTGAAAAATGTAAATGTTTGAACTAATTTTTATTTATTGTGTTAAAATCAGATTTAAAATAATAAATAAAAAAATCCAAACAAAAATAACTTTGATAAAAAATATGGAAGTTATTATATCATGACATAATTATCTATATTTATGTTTTTCAAATCAGCAACCTCCTCCGCTTACTTGTTCACTATAACATTCAACTTTATTTTTCTTTCTATTTACCTATTGTACTTGATACTCCATGCATTCTAGTTAAATTCCTCAAAATCATGCTAGAGTTTAATTTTTATAGAAAATTGACACCAAAGTTGCAAAAATAAGCAAAGATATATAACAGTTAATGACAGAACCATAAAAGGTAGCACCAATTACATTTGGTAGTTCAAATTTCAATAATTCAAATGAGAATTCTAAAATTCCGTTTTGTTTGTTAATGTATCTCAACCATGTAATAAACCTTTGGCTGAAAAGGGATGTAATTAGGAAGGCTTAGATATGAGGATTAGGTAATGTGAATGAAATTCATGAATTAGAACGAATTAAGTAATGTGAATGAAATTCATGAATTAGAACGAATTAGGACTAATGTGATATAAATCAAACAATTGTATCAAATATCTTGTGGCCATGAAGCATTCTATAATGATCAATTGATTTACAAATAATTCATCATCAATATCTTGTATCCAATGTACGGGCATTGAATTAGAAGCATGCCCACAACATATTACTCACTTGCGCACATAATTAAGAAACATCCCCCAAATGCAAAGACGCCCATAGAATGGGTAACCTACAAGAATACAAAGAGGTGAGAAAACCCAAGATTATCAAGTAAAAACTTCATGTAAATTTTGTAAAATAAAAAAAAAAAACCCTTCTTGTTTGTAGTAATTAGTAGAGGTTATGTAGTTTTCATGATAACATTCTCTTGTGGCTTGTTACTTACCAAAAGACTACAACATTCAACAACGAAACTAATTAGCTTTAATAATCACCAAATTAAACAACATAATAGAACATTTGATAACCACATTTGGCAAACATTTTTTTTTCACTTTCAGTGCATCATAAAAGTACGAAATCAGGAAAAATAATATAAAGATCAAAATTTATATGCTTGTAGCCCTAGACCAAAATGAACTCAAAATCAACTACTAAATAAAAACAAAAACACCAGTAATGCTTATAGAATAAAATAAGCTACTAATTTTTGAGGGATGGGTGTTATGTCTTTATTTAACCACAATTTCTACAAACTGATTGTCGTAATCTTTGACACCAGAAATCAATTAAACAACTTAGAAAACAAAAGAGATAGTAAAAGAGGAAACTCGATGAAATGATACTACTAATGACCTTTATATCAGAAAAAGTTGTTTTCTCTTTATTTGGAGAAAAACTATCGGTTGATGAAATTGTCCCCCATATTTTGAAGAAACATCACCCGACAAATAAAACTTTTTAATAACTTCTTGTTTCTTTTCAATATCTCTCTTTTTGTACCCTTGAATCTCTTTTAGTCTTAAACATCCTTACGAGTTCATCCATCTCTTTTACTATAAGTCAAGACACAAAATCAAAGAAGTTTTACCTATAAAATTCGTTCTAAATTCCTATTTTGTTACTGAGGCTTTTCATCAGAGGAAATGCATTTATTCAGAAAGAACATATTATCTGATCTCTAGAATCACATAATTAATCCCATGCTACAAACATAAAAGAACGCTGTCAATTTGACATATATATATATATATATATATATATATATATATATATATATATATATATATATATATATATAAAGAGCGAAAAAAACCGTCAAAAACTAATTAGCATGATAAAAAAAAGCATAGATCATAACACATTTAGCTACATAGTTCTTGTCATGGAGAACCTTTTGTAATTCTTTGTGATTTGACTGTAATCTTAATGGAATAACATCTTGTTAATTTATATGTAAGCAATGGCTAAATTGTTTACATATTTTCTTCTAATTTTCAAAGTGGGTTTGTTTTTTGGAAGAAAACACAACCAAAATCCCTAAGATAGTGAAATCAGGTAAGTCCATATACACCATAATACTTTGAAAAACTCATAATTGAATCGCAAGCATCTCTAAAAACAAAACGAAAGTAATAGAAAATAGAAGCAAGGCGTGAAATCAAATGTATAGATGTTTTGCAATCAAAACTACAAACAAAACAAAGGTAATGGAAATGATTCGCACATTACCTCTGTCAATTTGTAAACCAAATCGAATAGTAATTGGAGGTGGTCAAAGTGTAACACCCATAAAATCATGCCAAATTAAAACTTTTGCAACACACTAAAAAACCATTTAACCATTACATAATTTGTTTTCAAAATAATAATTATCAGAGTATCCCAGTTTCCAATCATAAAACATAGCGGCAGGGGGAGCGGTACGATCAGACCTTCGCATTCCCTCGATCATCAAAAGTACCTGAATCAACAAATTGAAACTGTAAGCCCGAAAGCTTAGTGAGCTACCCCAAAATACCAACACAATACCAATAACCATAACATATAACAAATACAGAACAACATGCATAATGAGCCTTCGGCCTAATTGGAACCCTTTGCAGGCCTTCAACCTATTTGGACTGCTCTCCGAGCCTTCGGCACGTCTGGACCTCCTCGCAGGGCCTACAACCCATCCGGACCACTCGCTGGGACTTCAGCCTAACTGAAGCCCTTTTTAGGGCCTTCATTTTATCGGGACCTCCGTGGGTATATACTAGCATATATCACAGTCAAGATGATCTAACAGATCACTAATCATAGCAACATCCTATTACCAGGGTACATACCTAACTAGGTCATTAAGCATATCACCATCCTAACTACCAGGATGTAAACCAATAAGCATATCATGTAACAAACCTGGATACGAATCCGACTAGGATCGACATTGGTGCCTTACACCCATTAGATATAGTGAGGATAACTCACCTCGCAACTACCGACTGAAAAATAGAAAGCTCAACTCCCGGATCACCGCCTCAAACTCCACCACCTATATCCAACACATGACAAAGTTCATAAATTACCAAGATACCCAGAAATCACATAGTCAATCCTAGTTCATAGCCAAGGCTAATGCTCAAGGTCAACAGTACATGTTGACCTGACTCGTTGAGTGCATTCAGTCACTCACCGAGTCCCTGCATATCTTGTCAACTCGCCGAGTCACCTGAGCGACTCGTCGAGTTCCTAGTGTTTGCGACCGATACCTCTCTAGCTAAGCTATCGAGTTTCCTTGCAACTCCCCGAGTTCATGCATGTCCAACGGTCGGGAAGACCCTAGCTGACTCGCCGAGCCTAAGGCAATCTTCACCGGACTCGCCGAGTCACCTATCCGACTCGCCGAGCCCACGACCGTCTTCATCGGACTCGCCGAGTCGACCATGACACTCACCGAGTCCCTTCAGACCTTCATCCATACATATGCTTATTAAGCCATGCAAATGCTCCAAATTGCAGATCCAACTTCCCAAGGCATGCTTATCACGTAAAGTTGCAAACTTTACGTGCATGCAAAGCTCTAAAGCCTTAAAATGACAAAACTAAGCTTGCAATGAAGTGTAACACTTGAGGGGGAAGTTCATACTTGTCAAAGTTGGCAACTTTATGGCCTTAGAGACCAAAAAGAGTTCAGATCTGAAGTTGCAACTTCAGATCTTAACTCAAACATAAGAATAGCCTCCTAAAAACCACCCAAAAGAGATCTAGGAAGAAATGAGCTAAAGTAATAGCTTAATACCTTCAAAAGAGTTCCCACTGAAGTAGACCTCTGATTCCCCACGAGTTCCTTGCTTCTAATCAATTCTTTTCCCCAAGCTTTGCCCACCAAAATCCTTCTTCAAAGCTTAGCACACCAAGAAAGTACACATATACATACAAACTTAGGGTTTGGAATGACAAGACACTGTAGAGAGGAGGCTGAGGAGGCCAATGATCCTTTAAATAGGGTGCAAAACCCCAGAAATTAGGGTTTCATCCCCCAACTCTTACTCGTCGAGTCCCTCTTTGGACTCGTTGAGTAGGTCACTTAAACATGTGAACCAACTTACTGCTATTCGATGAGTCGAGCAACCAACTCGTCGAGTAGACCTTGAAACCGCAAAGATCTTATAACAAAAGAAATCGATACCTGGGAATCGAGGAGTTACACAAAGACAGAGGAGTCTATCCAAACACCCTCTAAATACTAAGGCGTATATTCGAGATTTGACAAGTAAAGAAATGGGTAGAAATTTGGGAAGGATTTGAAGTTTGATTTTATGGAGAGGACAAAATGTAGGTGCGCGTGGATTTGGAGATTATAAAGTAAATATGTAAAATTTGTATATACATAATTTAACATTTATATAAAATTGACTAAAGATACTACATGTGGTAAAAAAATATTAATTTATTAGATAGCATTAGATAGCATATGAATTACATTGTAATGCCAAATATTTACCTTGCTTCACGTACGAAACTCATATAAACATTTTTACCATTAATTTCAATATACAAGTCGTGAAAAAACCAGGTTGTTAGCATTGTATGTGTTACATCTTGAAACAAACCAACTAAAACTCATGAGCCTTGAGCAAAATTTTCATGTTCCACCATGCCATTTCAATTGATCGTCAAGACATTTGGCTACAAAGTTCTAAGCACAATGTTTGCATCTCAGTGATGTCATTACCATCCTCAAGCATAAAAGAGTCGAATTTCCCATTATGTAGGCATGTCATATTTATTTGCTTGTCTAACTTCTCCAACTGAAAAGAAAACAACATATATTACCCTTAAATGTGCTTCGACTTGTATGATTAAATTGGGTAATTTAAAAGAGTGATATTCAAAATTAATCAAAGATTAATCCTGAACTCCATACCTTGCAACGCACTTCGCAAGTCCATAAAGGTGTAGGGATACAAGTCAAATAATGGCACCACGAACAATAATCGTTTCCATCAACCCCGTGAAAAAGCAAAACCAAACCAACCGTAAATCTGCAAATATATGTCGACCTTAATATAAACGTACAACTCGATTCCCATATCTCATAATACAAGTGGTTTCTAAAAACAATACTTACCCAACAAGTAGAACAATTAGAGAGATAATCAAAAGTATGTATTGATAACTTTTGTATTTGGATTTCGTGGTTGGGGCGATATAGCCAGGAGGAACGTGTTTCTGGTTTGTCCACTTGAATTGCGGACGGATCAAAACGATAAACCCTAGAAAGAAACCTGTGAAAAATCCTCCAATATGTGCATAGTTGTCTACATGTGGAAGAATTCCAACAGCAACGTTAATGAGGATGATGATGATCATAGTTGATAATGCTGCAGACTGACAATGTTTAAAACGATGAAATGATTATGGGATCTCCGATATGTTTGATTTTATTAGAATTTTCGTATCTAAAAAGGGTTTAGTTAATTAAACCATGCAACCTTGTTGGCATAAATAGTCCAATTTGTAAGAAGTTCTGAGAGCATTCCTCCGAGTAGACCGAATAGAGCTCCAGAAGCACCAACAGAGATGCTTGTTCTTACAAACAAAGATGACAGAAGACTTCCTCCAATTCCAGATAATTCGTAAATCACACCGATCTTCACTGCAAAATTAAAACATTGTATCTTGAACTTTTGAATCGATCTATCTCGACTCGAAAAGAAATGCATGGTGTATGAGTTTGTAAGATTGTTACTTACAAAATCCAAACTCTTGCTCGAGGCGAGACCCTATAAAGACCAGACCCATCATGTTCGCGAAGACATGAAAAACACCGGCGTGTAACCACATACAAGTCACGATGCGCCATTCTTCCCTTTCTTCAACGGTTTTTTTAAATTCTAAAGCTCCCAATTTTAACAGCCTAGGGAAATATAGTAGAATTGAATCAGTGTGCATAATTAAACCCTAATCTTGATGATCTAGTTGAAATTCAAGATTTCAATCTCTAAACAAGAGATTGAATGCGTGTTTGCATATATGATTGTGTGAAATCAAGAACTTTATCATGGTAACTTACAGCATTAAAAATACAAAAACCCCATAAATTGACGCAACCCGTAGAAAGATTCGAAGAACGATATATGCAAAATCATTTATGGAACACAGAAAACGAGACGAAAAACGTACGTGGCTGCAGACGGACCAAGAAGAGGGTTTATCTTCATGTTCTCGAACGCGAAACGTTTGAGGAATCCTGGTGCTATGCATTTGTTCGAATGGGCAGGACAATTGTTGATGAACATGGAAACTAAGAAGAGAACGACGTTGGTAAAAACAATGGTAGGCACTAACCAAGGATACCAATCTTTATATGGTTTGAATTCAGGAGACGGAGAAGGGTGGCGAGGACGTGGTGGTTGGTTCGTCACCGAGGAAGAACCCGGTGGAGGGGTGTTGTCACGGCGTTGCTGCACCTTGATCTCAAGCATCGGTGACTCCCTGGTGGATGACCGACCCATGGCGGTGGCCGGTCAATCCTCTCAGGGAAGAAAACCGTGTGTCATGTATTAATTAAGATTGGGGTGATGGCGTGGGTTTAATCATTATCGTTAAGTTTGTAGTTTTTAAGGAAAGATTAAGAATAGATACTGTTGAAAGTTAATCAGGGAGGTGGCCGGAAAATTCCGGTACATTAGGGCAAGGCATGGGAGGAATAGGAAGGATGATATGCCGTTTCTGGAAGGACTGATGAGGACTAGGAGGCGAAGCCCCCATACAATATTGGAAATTTGTATAGTCATTACGGTAAACATTTAAAAAATCAAATAAATATATTTTAATAACTTTACACAATTTGTTTAAAAGTTGTAAATCGGACAATCTTAAGCATCACAATAGATACAAATTAGCAGAGTACTCTGTTTTTAATAACTAGGAGTATGCCGCTTTCCTAATGAAAAAGATAGACAACAACCCTTCTCTCGAAGTTACGGGGTCATGTTGCCGAGTTCTTTCGACATGTTTCTCTCAAGCGCTCTAGTATATTCTATTTGTTCACCTGTGTCGGTTTGGGGTACGGTCAGTTCACTAGGAGGATCGCCCTCTCAATTCGAAATGATTATTTTTAATAAATTTTTTGTGTGATATCATCGGCACATTAATAGGCCAAAAACTTTGATATATGTAAAATCCGTTCTTTATCTTTAGGGATAGTTTTAAATTTATCTAATAATAAATATTAAAAAAGCCTGTGCAATGTCGTGGGTTTGAACGAATCTTAACATAATCAAAGATCTTGAAATGATTTCTCGAAGAAAAAAAATAACAATGTACTTTTATATGTATATATTTGTTTATTATAATTTATAACATCGTACTTTCATTTCATCCTATTACAACATCAAATATCTATATAGCAGGAGGGGTATACCTACAAATTTCAAGAAAAATACAACAACTCCTCAGTGATATGAATCCACCACCCCTATTGCAAAACTACATTGTTTATGAATAGGAAAAGGTAATGAAATAAATGGAAAGAGGATTATCTAATAAAGAAACCAGTGAAAGTTCATTGCTATTTCTAGCATTTAATCCAAATATAAGAAGGAGTTCTACCTCATCCTCGACATGGAAGTCTTTGAAACAAATTTGACAATCGTTGCAGTCAGTTGGAACAATTTCAAAGAGAACAATGGAAGTCCCTAAATTAATATCTCGGGATTTCAACAGTAAAGTCCCAATATTTTGGAAAAAGTTTCAAAAAAATCCTTTTTTTTTTTGAATAAAAAAGCCCAGAAAACCGAAAGATTTATTCAGTTTAGTCATTTTTACTTATTCAGTCAGTCATCTGCCTACATGACATGCCAAGCTAGACCTGTTACTAACATGGCAACTGAAGTGGCATGCCAAGTCAGTCTTACTTATTATAAAAAAATTGGAATTTCTTTTGAAAATGACAAAGGTGAGAAGTGATCCTGCATCTCCCCTCCCCTAACAGGACAAACTTACCAGTTAAACCCATTGTCTGATACGTTCTAAATTTAGGGAAATTGTTTTTGCTTATGGGGTACAACTTACAAGCATCTATTTTTTTTTCTACAGTTTCAAGATATGTTTAACCTAGATCGATTTATGGATCTCTTTAGTGGTCACAAGTTGTTTATTGGGATAAGCTCGAGGGAAATAAATCAAAATCAAATCTGTTACACCTGTGATTGTTTTATCAGAGAAAAACAATCAACGTTTGGGATGTAGGTTGTGTTGTTGCTTCAAGGGATTGATTTAATCATCTTCAGCTATTAATTGATCAAGAAAGCCCAACATCATTTGTAAAGACATTATCTCAATCAGATGCTAACAATGGTGGTTGATTCTCAATCCCGGTAGTGGTCGTGGACTTTTAGGGTGTGCATGGACGAGTTATGGTGGAGATGTATCTCCGATGGTCCTGGTGAAGATAGAACTTGGTTGTTCTTCGTTTTCATGGATTCATACTTCATCTGGTGTGTGTGGGAGAACAGGTGTATCTGGGATGGATTAAGCTTACTGAAGGCATAAACTTCTTCATCTTCATCAGATAACAATACCAATGATGGATGGTAGATTGATTTCCCTTGGATCGAAACCTATAGAAGCTAGCTGAGACGACAATCTTCTTTAAACAATTACATCCCTGTTCTCGATCAAAGGGTGGTTTCCCTTTCTCTTCTTGTTGAAATCGAAGTTCAATTTTGATCAGTCAAGCATTGTTCTTCTATGCGATGATTTCATATGAGAGAAATAGAGGGGAGGTAGGGCTCATCTAATATAATAAATGAAGGTTTTTTTTGCCACATGTCATCTTCTCATTCATTTGGACACATGTCATTTTCTAAAAATTTTAAATTTTCTATTTTCTACTTGTCATTTTATTGTATTTTTCATTTTATTAAATTAAAATTCTATATTTAATGTGTAAGGTAATATATATGTAAAGTATTTATTAAAAAAAGTTTATATATGTAATGTATTCAATACATTAAAGTCTCATTAATTTTAATAATTCAAATTTCTCATTTTTCTTATAAATTCAAACTTTTCAAATTGTTAAAATTTTATATTTATTTTTTTTTAATTAAACCCATGTAATACATGGGTCTCACACCTAGTTGTATATTAAAACAATTATATTTTCTATTTCTTTTTTTTTTAATAACAAAAAACTTGTAAATGGTCCCTGTAATAATGAAATGACGGAAATGCCCTTCACTTAACAGACAAAACTAGACAGAGTTAACAATAAGGACCTTTTGTTAAAAGGTTTGAAACCACAGAGACCATCCATGAGTTTTTTTTTTTTTTTTTTTTTTTTTTTTTTTTTTTTTTTTTTAAATTAGGGACGAAACTTCAGATTTTTTGAAACTGCATGAACCATTTATGAAGTTTTGTCTTTTTTTTGAAAAAAGATAATAACACGATGTGGTGACTCGAGCCTGCGTGTCCTTTATACACAAACACACTTCTTTCCGATTGAGATAAGAGGTTATTTGATTTTGTGCCATAAGACGTATATATAATTGTTGTATACGCTAAAGTTTTAAATTATTTATTTATTTATTTATTATTATTATTATTATTATTATTATTATTATTAAAAATGTGTATTCTTAGCTACAGTAATTTGGGTTGTCTTTTGTCAAAATTCCCCCTTCTATTATGCTCTTCTTGCCCTTATATTATGCTGATGTTGTCACCACAAACAGTCTAAATATGGACATTTATCTGCATTGTAACTAATACGTGTTATTTTTTCATTCCCTCTTCCATTGTAATCGATACGCGTCCTTCCCACCACCTCCACTACTTCCTACTCCTAACACGGTGTCCTCCACTGTTTCTATTCCCCCAATAACATTACTCCACCACATCTCGCACCACCAATGCCTCGATACCTGAATACTAGATGCTTTCAAGTTGTGTTCATCGATTGTGCTTCCCACCCCACCGCTTCTCTTCTGTTTCTTCATCGAATCCTTTTGTTTCCTTCATCCACCCCGTTCAATTCAGTCCCGGTTACTTCCTCTGATCTCTATCTGTGTCCGACGACCATCAACGAAAGGGGAAGGACAGTTACTAATTCGATTATCTCCTTCGTAGATAAACCCTCTTCATTGTTGAATGAAGCAAAAGCATACAGACCTGTCCATTCGTTCCTTTCAACCTCCGTATTGCAGCGAATGAGATCGATTTTAGTTCCGATTTCCAAAATCGAACACACACACACACACATACACACATCAAATTAAGTAAGTCATTGTTATTTTCAATATCAATCAGAAAGAGGGAAAGTGAAAAGCAAGATCGACTAAAAATGGGTTACTTCTTTTCCTTTGTTGAATTATTGCACTATCTTTTTTTAGGGTCGATATCCAAAGAAGGATGTCAGGTTCTTCTTTTCTCGATTTCTCACTACCAATCGATATTTATTTTCTGTTGATTTCATACCATTACGTTTTTCTTCTTTCCCAGGTTCGACTCTTATTTACTGATTTCGTATAGGCTTTTGTATGTTGAATAGGTAAACACCATTTTAAGTTGCTTAATCTTGATTGAACCCCGATTGGTTACTTTTCCTGAAATTCGGATGGTTTTCAACCCGTTGTGCAATATTAGATTTTAGTGGTAGTGTTGGGGCTGCAGTTGTTAGCAAAAAATAAGGCAACTCTTTGGATAGATGGGGAATATTTTCTCTAGGTTTATCTAATGCTCTCAGTTCTTTACATTGCAAGGCTATGACCATTACAAGACATGTATGTTTGATTGTTTCTTCTTTTGATTTTCTTTATTATTTTCATTCCTAGGCAGAGTAGCAATTAAGATCGAGTTGGATCCTTATGTGTGTTGGTAACTGGGCTGTGCCCAACACTACTCAATGGCTCAATGATGTTTTAGCTCCTGCTGGCAGAATTGGTATAGATCCTATTTGATTCTTTGCTTTATAATGTATCCTAAATTTACCCATTTTTGGTAGATAAGACAATGGTTGGAGCTTATAATAGACGAACTTGGCATCAATCTTGGGAATATGGACTTTGAAATGGTTGGATCTTAAAAAAAGGTTTGTTACCTTACTTCAAGTATCAAGAAATGAACTTTAATTTATGGGTTTTGTTTATAACTAAATCATAAATGATGATTCTTGGTTTAGGTCACCGTGTCCAAAGATGACACAATTGTTGTTGATGGTGTTGGTGATAAGAAATCTATGGAAGAGAAGAAATTGAGGAAGCACACCATGTGTTCGAAAAAATGCATAGTTGAAATTTAGGTAATTGTAAAAAGTTTTCTCTATACATTTGAATCAATGGCAGAGGTATGTTTCCTAAAAGTTCCTCCTATGTTTCTTTCATTTTTTGGGGTGATTTATTTTTTCTGATTCTATTTTGTTTACTATTTCATTGATTTTTAACAAATTGTTAATATTTTGGTCCAGTTGTCTAATTAAACTGCATTTCCGTCCATGTATCAAGGTTTGACGAGCTTTGGCAGATGGTGAATTCACTTCAACTTGTACTATGGATCCAAACACTTAAACAAGGTATTCATGATTTGCTTCTTAATTTAGGTATATTTGTTGTTCCTAAACAATAAATGTGAAGATAAGAAAAGATCGTTTTTTTTCTTCTGGACATATGACAAAAAGGCAATTGTTTATCAGTTTAGGACGTGTAATCATTTTGTGTTAACATCTTGACTTGGTTTTAAATTTATTG